TTCCTAGCTGATGGTTTAGCTAAACAAGGGGCAAAAAGGGATTCACTTTTTTGGGTTAAGCTGTAACTATAGTGTGTTTTCTTTCTTTTTTTCTTTTCTTGAGGTTCTTTGTTGCTCTTGGAAGATAAGCGTGTTTGTCTTCCTATTGTAAATCTTCTTTTGATGAGTTAAAGAAAGTGTTATTGATCAAAAAAAATAAATAAATAAACAGTGTAAAAAACTCACCCAAAACAGCACATGGGAAGTTGAAAGCTGTAATTACACCCACTATTCCAAGAGGATTCCACACCTGTGGTATACAGACCATGTGTTTGCACAATGTTATGAATAATGTTCAAGAGAAAACAAAATTGTTACCAATAATGCTTTGCTCATAAATTGCTACAATGTGCAGGTAATTTTAGTAACCCTAGACCAAAGTCAGAGACATGCACCAAACCTCTAACATCATGTGATTTGGACCTGTTAACAGAAAATACAATGAAAGTCTATTAGAAAAACAAAAACATGGTGGGAAAAGAAACCTCCAGTGAAAACCCTGATACTGAAAAGGCATGCCAAACCAAGCTACAGATAAGAAGAGTAACCAGTATAATTTTTGACTTACGCTCGGAGGGAATAACCGATCCATTTAGTTGACGACTTAGCCCAACAGCATAATCACACATGTCAATAATTTCCTACAAACAATTGAATATCAGGGGTCAAGAGAAAAGACTGTGGTCTTAAAAACCAGCTCAGTTCTAATTGAAAGAAAACTGAAAATCATGTTCCAACTTCATTCAAGTCATTAAATGGCACATATACAAAGTAACATACCATCCAACAAGTGGTTGCAAATCTGTTTATAGTGCTTAAGCATTATAACAAGTGATGGTTTATCAGAACATGTGGCAAAAATTGCAGTTAATTTGGAGCCAAAATCCAACGACTAGCTCCTAGATGCGTATAAACCCACAAGATATGTGGCAAAAAAGAAAAGAATAGCATGAACAAGTAGCACATTATTAAAAAAATGACTAATAAAGTAATGACTACTAACTAAGGAGTTTGTACTCCAGCAAAGGAATTTCATAAACAATGCGGCCTGAAAAGCAGCTGTTGAATATGGAGTAAAGATATGATCGGAAATTCTGCGGCATCCATATTCCATGATTTGAAAAATAACTATGAAACAAACAGAGATGATGATGTGAAAAGAAAAGTAACGCAACAGACCTGAACCTCTCCTATTCCTTCAGGAAGCATCTTCCCCATCTCAAGCGATACAAGCCTGCCAAGATGCTGCAGTTTGGATCTCAACACGTCACCTATCTGTCTAACAATTTCACCTCTTTTTGGCGCAGGAACCTGATAGGAATGAAGGTTCCTAAAACTCTTAGTTCTAAATCGCATGGCTATAGAACAGTGAAGCACCATATACAACTATCTAATGTTCAATTGTCAATTAAATCTAGGATGCATAAAAAGTTCAGAGATAATCTCAAAAAAGCATCATCTTGAACGATAATCTCACTTGCATCCATATCTTCGCCGCTTCGTTGCAAGCCTGCAGACCTTCCTCATAATCACTAAGGGATGCTTCCGCAACTTCAGCAATGATCTGAATCAACAAGAGGGGTCAGTAGAGAAGTTCTAGATGAAATATTTTACTAATTACTAATGAACGTAACAGAAACACAGCTTCTCAACCAAATGAAGTAGGTTTTGTGTGTAAATGATTCCTTCCGACGACGACAGTAAAGGGTGAATGGTTATTTGAATCAAGAGAACGTCCATAACACCCTATGCTGATAAGGTCCACATTCCACTCTAAAAATCAAATTTTTATTTGATCCTCCGGCGAACAAAAGTCGTTGAGCAAGATAAACAAATTATCTTTTCCACAGGAAAAGAATGATGACCCGTCCCCAGATCAAGTGTTAATATCTCGATAAACCGATTAGATTCGATTTTAATAGGGTTTAATCGAAGACTGGAGAATCCAAACCTGATTGTTTGCAGGATTCACAGAAGAAACTGTAGGACCACTACCCTTCCACACCCCATTGACATAACAGCCCGGATTGCGAGGACCCAAGCCCAGCTCCTTGAGAAATTCATACTCTTTCCTCGCAAAACCCATCTCTGAAATAATTGCCAAGAGTGATTTAGAAAAATGGATAAAGCTATACGCAGAGAAAAAGATGAATCGATTGGGGAACTGGGGGTAAATGTTAGGGAGAAAAGGAGGGAAGAGATGAGGATGAATTTGGTTACGCAAGTAGAAATGGAAGTGAAGACTGAAGAGTTTCACAAGTAATGGTTGATATGATTCGATTGGAAGGATATGATGTAGGATACAACCACCCGTCTCACTTTACAAGTATATATACGATTGATCATCAGTAAGCAATTTACAATTGGAACGTGTCAGAGTGCATCGACTCGATGACACTCAAAAACAAGAAAATTTGATGCAACTGCCACGTCCTTTTTTGTCCTTTTATTATTGTATTTTGTATTTTAATTTTTCTTTGTTGACCAAACAAAATAACTCACTCCCCATTGCAATTATTGGATATGTATAGCCAAAGCCAATCCATTTAGATCAACTTGCAGCCAAAAAAAAATCCATTTAGATCAACCAAACCATCTATGATCTATCTTATAGCCACTGTAACTTGATAATGGAAGAAAAGGGATCCAGCTTCCAATTTTGGAGCAGGTGCTTGACCAGATAGGCAGATACCAATTTCCATTAGTGGGTTTCTGAATTTAGTGTGAAGAAGAATAACCAGACTTAACTTGATTACTTGATTTTCTACTAGAAAATCACAGTTAGCACGGAGGAGGGGAAGAGGTTTAATAAGAATAAGAGAATGGGCCAGATGGCCGTTATAAAGTGTCATCTCCATCAGAGGTCCCCATCATCTCTAGTCTCTGTCTCTTTTGATAAGTAGAAGTTGTCATGAATTTGAATACCCAACTGGAGTGAGAAATATCAATCGAGTTGTTTAAATTTATTGTTGATTTCTGGGCATCTCACCAGGGACGATAAGTAGCTTGTTGATTTCAAATGCCCCATCGAATGAATGACATATTTACTTCATTACACATCTCTGAGGTTCCATTGCTTTATTTTGTTTTGCTTCTTACACAGTTACACGAAATTTGCTTCCATTATTGCATGTCTTCCGCCTCACTTTTCAGCCATGTCTAATTGTGTGTGGAGAGCAGGAACGAATAGCCAATGTGATTTCTCACTTCCCAGATACGACTTCATCTATTCATCTTATAGTTTTATTTTTTGGGGGGCGAAAGAGAAATGCTTCATTGCATAGTCACTTTGTTATAAGAAGTAGATAGGCCTCTTCATATACCATATTATCCCCTATAGTAACACACTGTCTAATATTCAAATGTTGCCAGTTGGCCCGCCCATGATCACAGTGAGAGTAAATCCTGAGTGAGAGGTGATTTTTTAGGGAAATTTATGCTTTGATCTCTCCTAAGTTTTTATTGGTTTTCTGAATATATTGTCCCAAATTCTCACCTAGCAGAAAATACAGAAGCTTTAGGGCTGAGGACTCAGCAGGCAGAGCATAAAGTCCACTGGCCCTGCCACGAAAAGCCTACACAATTCCATGGGTTTGATCCCCAACCCTGTGGAAGGATGCTGACTGACCATCTCAACCATTTTGGTATGGACTATTTATCTAACCAAATACATACATACATACCCAATTTATAAGGCTTTGAGCTAGGGGGGCTTTTTTAAATAAGTATCAACTTTTAACAGACTTACCACCGTGAAAGGTTTTTACTTATGAGGGGGCTTTTTTCAATAGTATCTAGATTTTGCTTATTTACCCCTACTCACCAAACCAAGGAGGGGTTTATTTTAAAAAACTGTCTTATTTTTGCAAATTTATCATCACTCTTCAAATTTTATAATTAGGAGGGGCCTTTTTTCAAAAAGTATCCAGTTTTCACAGATATACCACGACTCCACAAGTTTTTTAGCTAAGAAGGGTCTTTATGTAAAAAAAAAAATCTAAAATTTGAAATTTTAACTGGACTCGACAAGGTTTTTACGTAGGAGGGGACTTTTTTCAAAAAATATCCAGATTTCTTAGATTTACCATGACTCTACACATGTTGTTCACATTTTCAAAAAGAAAACCCACTCCTCATATACATAAATTGCATTTAACTACATTTAAATTTTTGAACTCATACATGTAATACTCTAAGACAAGTGCCATACACTCAATAATAGTTCTTTAGAAATACATGAGAAGTGGGAAGCTCACATTCTCATCCATTCCTAAAAAAATGCAAGAAATGTAGAAGTGATTATCCACAACCCACAACCACTTCAATCTACTGCAATTTCAATAGTTAGTTTTATTTGAATTTCAAATATAAATATAATTATTAGACAAATAGTGAAACAACCAATGAGATTTCCCAGAACCTAAACAATATCATCTCCTAAATTATCTCTAATTCCTATTTATCTTCTAAATTATCTCTAATTCCTATTTATCTTCTAAATTATCTCTAATTCATATTTATCTCATAAATTATCTCTAATTTAATAGAGAGTTTCTCTCATAAATTATCTCTAATTTAATAGAGTCTCTCATAAATTATCTCTAATTCCAATTTATCCTCTACCCTACTTTTTATCTATATCTATCTAAAGAAAGTTTGGGTTAAAAAATTTAAAATTTATTTAAATATTCTAACAAAATCATATAATATAACTTTAAAATATATATTAAAAACACAACAAATAATTTTATATTTTTATAAAATATATCACAAAATTATGTACTAACAATTTAAATTATTTTTTTCTGTATTATCGATTCAAATGTTTTTCAAATATTTAATAATATGTAATAGCTTTAAATAAATAAAATTTAAATAACAAAAAAATTTAAATATTTTATAGATTATTTTAATATTTAAATAACTAAATATTTATCATAACTAGATTTTAAATAGTTAAAATAACAAAATTATGTAATAAATTTATAAAATTTCTTAAAAGTATAAAAATAATTATAACATAATATTGAAATTAATAATAATTTAATATATTACAAAATTAATAATGAAATTATGTAATAATAGTATAAATTATGATTTTATCTATACTTAAATTCAATAAATAATTAATATTTTAAAATTATTTACATATTATTTAAGTATTTCAATAACTAAATATTTTAAATAACAAAATATTAAACATAACTAGATTTTAAATAGGTAAAATAAAGAAATTATGTAGTGAATTTAAAAAATTCTTAAAAGAAGAAAAATAATTATAACACAATATTGAAATTAATAATAATTTAATATTTTTACATAATATTATAAATAACTAATTTCACTTATATCAAGTAATAATTCGAGAAAATAACTTTCAAAAAAAATTAATATTTATTCATAATAATTTTAAACTCTTAATCTATATTTGTTATATAATTATATATACCAAAAATTAATATTTATTGTATTTCAGTAATTANTGTATTAGTTGTATTTTTGTTATAACTTATTGATTAATATTTATTAGAGATTATACTATTTATTGACTAAGTTAATATATTTTTAGTACTTATTGTATTTTTGTAATTATTGTATTTTTTATTATCAATATATTTTCAATAATTGTGTATTTTCGCTATAAATTTTCAATATTATTGGAGATTAAACTATTGCTATTTATCAAAGATGAGACTATTAATTTAGCTAAAATTACGAGTGTTCATGAATTGGTTCGGTTTGGCCGTAGGTTATTTGGCTAACCAAATTGACCTAGTCAGGTTGGGAAGTTGGTTAGCTGAAATCAACTGACCTTTTGTGAAAACCGACTCACTCAAGTTGTATCGGTTTGGGTCAATTTTTTGGTTCGGTCAGTCGATTGAAAAGATTTAAACTTAGAAATTTAATTTAATTTTAAAAATTATAATGCAATTATTAAAAATAAATTAAAAAATTAGATTTATGATATAAAACATTTTAGACTAAGAAATATGGGAAATTTCTCACTTTTCCATATTAAAAATTAAATTTTAAATATAAAATGTTAATATTTATCCATGGTTAGGTCATTCGATTTTGGTCGGTTTACAAATGGCCAAAGTCAAACTAATCCAACTTGGTCAAATTAGGAATTTTTTTAGCTGCGCCAGCCATGCCAAAAGCGCATGCAAAAGCCGACCTAAAATACTAAAAAACTGGCCAACTCGGGCCAAGTTGATCGGGTTGGTAAGTTTCATCAATTTGATGAATAAACCTAATTGAAATTAATTATTGTTATTTCTATATTATAAAATTTATTAAAAGTAGTATATAAAATATGAATAATTATTAATTATTTAAAAAGTTGAAAATATAAAATAATTGTATACCCTTATGTGTTTCTATTAGGGTCATTTACTATAACACACCTTATAGTTTTACATATTTACTTAAACCTACTTTATAGTTTTCATTTTGCTAAAACATCTCATATTTTACAACTTATTTACTTAATCAAACTTTCATTAAGGAGTGTTTGTTTTGCAATTAGGCCCATAATTTTTTATTCCAAAAATACCCTTAACACTTTTTTGTACAGAAAACAAATTTGACCAAATATAGCTAACAGAGTGGTTGTCCGTGTCCTATTAAGGGCAAAAATGGTATTTTTATTTTTATTTTCTTTCGATTAAATTTATTTAAATAAACATTAGGGTCAACACTATCATTTTCCATTGTCATCTAATGGAAGATTGATTAAATCCATTGCAAATTATAAGTGGTGTTTTAGTAAAATGCTAACTATATGGTAGATTTTAGTAAATCCATGAAACTATAAGGGGTATTTTAGTAAATGAGCATTTTCTATTATTTAGCTTTCGCTTAATAAATACCATGCATTGCACGGGTCCCCGCTAGTATTATTATAAAAAATAAAAAAGAGTACCATAACGGGGTCACATACTAAATAAAATATGGTAAGTCTTTTAAATCAAATAAAAATCTATCAAAACAACAAATGAAAAACCTAAACTAAATTTTTAATATAGATGATTTAAAAAATTGAAATTTTAAAATATTTCATATTAGTGGCCCCGTACTGAGTACGGGAGTCATACCTAGTTCAATCTAAAAATATATCCCATATATAGACTATTTGAAGAAGTTGATGGAGCTTACGTAAAGAGTAAGCCCGGTCATAATCAGAGATTGCCAAGCCATTACTAAAAATCAAAGGAAGGAAATTGTATTACAACCATTCCTGAAGGATCCCGGGTCACCTCAACTTATTTCATCAGATTTGGTAAGGTGGTAGGCCACTTAGGGCTGTCACCGGACCAGTG